GAGGTCGCTGGTGCTAGGCTAGTGCATGTCAATGGCCATAGTTAGCGTGCCACTAAAAACAAACCTTGCATCGCATGAATCCTTGCATGTTGAGGGACTATTTTCTCAGCAGCAGCAGAATTTTACTTCCAAGCTTTCTATCAGGAAGTACAACTCACTGCTGCTGCTCAGTCATAAATCCTTCAAATGCAAGGTTAGTTTTATTTCAAACATTATTCTATCAACACAGACATTCACATGGACAGTCTGGTGTAATAATAGATTTGTTTCGGGTGTTTTGTGGAGTGGGTAAGACTGTTTTTAGTGCCAGGATAACTATGGCCATTGACATGCACTAGCCTAGCACCAGCGACCTCTGCAAATACAAGAACTGGATGGAATATTTCAAAAAGTGTCTCCACACGTCTGCAACACTCTGGCTCACTAGGAAATGAGGTCCTTTGTCCAAAATACAGGACTGTCCCTTTAACGGATAACTTTTACCTTTAGCTCAGTAGAGATCGGCAATTCCAGGGCTGAGTTTAAAAACACACCGGAGCACTTCCTGTATTACCACACGACATCACAAGGTGGAACTGAGTGTTTCCTGTTTGAGAGAAGAACGCTAAATGTGCAAAATTTGTGTATTAAAAGATGACAAGACACAACTCCAGGTCTGTTTGTGATGAGGAAACAACATTATAACATAAATCAGAAAATACTACGAAATGGGCCCATTAATTATAATGCAATTTTGCGGACCATTTGAGGCAATAACAACATGTCTATGAAGAAAACAGCTGGCAGTCATTATCGTAACACTCACCTTCATGCAAATTATTATTATTATTAGTAGTAGTAGTAGTAGTAGTAGTAGTAGTAGTAGTAGTTATTAGTTATTTAGTTATGTATTTATATGTAAGTTATTAGTTATGTATCTATTTAAAGCTGCACTTTGTAACTTTTTGGTTGGGGGTCCGTCACCTGCTTGTTTCTATGGATATGTCATTGCTCTGCCTGGAATGTTCCGCAGTACGACATTAAACAGTTTTGTCTTGCATTTATTCAATTACAGGTGGTTTTTATAGCTCAAAAATACCTAGAAAAACAGGGATTCTGACTGTGAGCGGGGTCGCCTCTCCACAGATCTGACACGTAACTTGGTCTGGTTTGGTCTCGGCAAAGATAGAAAATTGTTGATTTGTTGAAAACAGTTGAATACCACACTGTGAAACATTCCAGACAAAGCAATAACATATCCGTGGAAAAGAAAAGCATTAAACGGACCCTCCACCCTCCAGAAAAAGTTACACAATGCAGCTTTAAACCGGGGTAATGTCCAGGTCAAAGCCTCAGCCTGTCCCCAGCACCGAGCAGCTGAGGCGAGGCTGGCTAAATGTTGTATTAAGAGCGCAGTAACATATGATAATGAGTACAAATGGGATTATTAAAGGGCTGGGTGTCATCAGGCTGACAGATCCAGGATGTCACAGCAGCCAAGCAAATTCAATCAGGGCCCCAATTACTGGCTGACGCTAGTGGAGACGTATTAGCGCTCAAATGAATGGGAAAATACAGTAAGATGCCAAGCCAGTTCATTTTCCAAAGGTGAACACATCTCCTGCAGGTAATCACACGCACTCATAATGACCCCGGTCTGTTTGTCACGCTGTCGGAGCTGGAGTCAAGCCACACTCTTTAGTACGGAGGAGGGCAAAGGTTAGATTAGATTAGGGGTGTAGTCGACGGAAAGGACGCTGTACCTGATTTTTACTGTCTTAAAAATGTGAAAATCATTAAAATCATTTAAAACTGTTTGCAATGCTTCAAAGTTCAGTGCACTTACTGATTCTCTGACAATAAAACACTTTAGAATTACCGTATTTTTTTGGACTATAAAGCGCACTGGATTATAAGGCGCATAAAGTGAAACAAACGGACGACACTTGAAACTGATCCTTAGCCCTGGCGTCCACGATCCATTGGCAGATCGTGTCGTAATTCGCCCGGTGTTGCCTCCCTGTCTTGGTGAATGTGGATTATGAATGTGAATGTGGGTGGATCACTTAAGTTTTTTTTGTTGTTAATTTCCTACGAGGACGACTCAAATATACATTGAGTAATAATGTGTTTAAAGCAACTTTGCACACATTTGTTGATGTTTTACAGAAATTAAACTTAAAACCACATGGATAATTTGCATAAACTATAAGCTCTGCAAAAACAGCTCGCTCCTAGTGGGCTGATGCGTTCAGCTTCTGTCGGACTAAGGACGTAAATTGGACTTTACTCCACAAGGTTCCTGACTACTGTAGCTGTAATGCTCCAACAATCCATCAAGCAGTACGGCTTCGAAGTTTACCAAAGTCGTACTAAAACATTTTGACAGATTTTTGAGTGCCGTGTACCACATAAAATCGATTCAAGGGCAGTAAGCACAACCAGAATTAATACATAAGGTGCTCTGGATTATAATGCACACTGTTGATATTTGCGAAAATATAGTCCGGAAAATATGGTAGATGCGGATGGTACACAGCAGAATTCCAAATGGAAAACACACCTTCTGCAGGTAATCACACGCACTCATAATGGCCCCGGTCTGTTTGTCACACTGATGGCACTGGAGTCAAGCCACACTCTTTAGTACAGAGGTCAAAGGTTAGATTAGATTAGGGTGTAGTCGACAAGACATGTTCTGTTGATTGATTAGTTGACTAAAAAGGGAGTGTGGCAAAACCTCTTAAAAATACTTACTTTTCATGATCACTTACATTGTAGATTCTCACGGAAAGCATCAAAACTATGAATGGACACATATGGAATGTAGTAAACAAAACCATAAACCTAAAATAGCTCCAAAGTTGATAGCCACAATTTGCTTTGATCACTGCTCTGGGCACTTCACATTTATTTATCCTGACATGGCACAGTTATGAAAACCATTTCAGGAGATTTTATTATAAAAATCATTGAGAAAAGTCCAAGGGTTTATAGCTCTGTCGACAAAGTAGAGGGTGGTTACTGTGAGGATTTCAATCTAAAAAAAAAAAAAAAAATATATATATATATATATATATATATATATATATATATATATATATATATTATATATATATTTTTTTTATTTTTTTTTTTTTAAACACTTGAGTTATTTCACTTTCTTTTCTACATAATGCTTCATATATGTGATGTCCATATGCATGTATGTATGTATGTATGTTTGCATCTGTATTTTGGAAGTGGGAGCAACCTCAGGAAAAGAAGGTGCTTGATTTGTTGTTCATATCATATAAACAGCACAATAAAAACACCAGGATGTAGAGCGGGTTGATACAAACATTTTAAAACCAAAATGAGGAGCCTAACAGCAGCAATTATAAAGCGAGGGGAGATGTTTTTTCAATAGAAAGTAAACTGGAGCTAGAATTGATGGAGCTGTAAGTATACCCATACTCAGTTCATATTCGGACTGTGGTGGCTAGCAGATTAGCTATGTCCATTTATATAAACAGTCTGATGATCTGGCCCAAACTGCGCTCACAACTGCGCACGAGCCTATGCAAAACAGCAATTTATAGGGAACTAATAAACAGTGTATTTGCATGTAAAAAGGAAGGATTTAACTCATGATTCACTCCCAAATCTTCAACCAACTCACTCCATGTCTTCTGCTCTCTGTTGTTAGGCGAGAAAAACCCTTAGAATCTTAATAAAATACATTGTTGACTAAAACAAATTAAGACTAATTCAGTTTTTCTTTGTTCCAGACTAGTGGTCCATTTTTAAAACAGACAAGGACAGTGATAATACAGAACAATAAACATTTCTGTTTTTAAAAGACAACCATACGAGTCTCTCCACATATTGGACTGATATCAGTTTGCAGAGTGTTCATTCGTGCAGTAACAAACATCTCAGTCGCACTTGTCCATCTTGGCTTCCTCAAAAGCACCTGTAAAGTGTCATTGTAGGCACCTGCAGTGTTTCTAAATAAGCTTTTTTGTAATTAATCCAGAGATGGTCTGTGTACAACAGTGTACAATATGATTTAAACCAGGGGTGTCAAACATACGGCCCGGGGGCCAGATTCGGCCATCCAAGACCTTTAATCTGGCCCTTGGCTGATTTTCTACTAAAATATTTTAATTATATTTTCTATTAAAATATTGGTAATTTTCTGTGGTGTTTAGCATAGCAGCGTCTCCAGCACCTCTGTACGTGGCCCCTCCCACCAGTGCAGCACTAATGAAGACTTGTCTCTTTCCAAACGCTCTTAAAGGACGATCGTTTTGACTGTTGACCGTGACACCCTCATCAACAAAATGTCCACAATGAGAAAAGTGGAGCCGAGTGCAGGATTTTCCAAGAAAAACTGACTTATTCCTATTTGCAAACAAGTTAGAGTTAAAACATTGTGTTGAAATTGAATTTTTCTTAAAGTTTCAGGTTGTTCATAATATAAAATTTTGTAAAAGAAAGAGTTCATCAATAAAAATATATACAACTATTTGAACTTATTGGTATTTTTGGGGTTTATATGACATGAGTTTTCTGATCCGGCCCCTTTGGGATCAAAGTCGGTTGGATATGATCCCCAGACCAAAATGAGTTTGACACCCCTGATTTAAACAATAACAACTTTCCATCATTTGTACAAGAGCCAAAGTTGTGCATAAAAGTATTTGCCTGAGCATAGAGCGTCCTACATGTCATTGTCATCTGCCATGTCCGCAGTGATGATCTGACTAAAATATTTTATTTTTGTTGTAACAGACATCACAACATTCAACAGGCAAAAGTCAGGACATCTCATGTGCTCGTTTTCTTTGGTCCTACAGATCATGACCATACTCTTGCATTATGACTATGACTTCATTGACCGATTAATCACCTAAATAACTAAAGAACTAGAGCCCTAAAAACTATAGTAAGTATGTTTAGTATTTAGTACTTTGTTGTAATATACTTAAGTACAGTAGAAGGCAGAACATTAAACTGGAGGAATAAAAAAGACCTACCGGCTGTTGAACTTCTCGGGGTGTTTCTCTCTCATCACATGGAAACGATGTGCAATGGAAGCATCCTAAAAAAGAGATACAGTTTTAACAAATTAGCTCTCAAAATAAAGCTTTCTTTGAACAAACCTTAGTATTTAGCAGCACCTGATGAAAGTGTGAAAGGAAGAAGTGTGTTTAAAGCTAAAACTTGTTCCTAGTGCTCAGACTCCCTTTGGCACATGGTTATTATATTTCAGCACGATCTTTTGAGGACACCTTCAGAACAGCTTTTTCTGACTGTGAAGTGTGAAATGAAGCAAAGTGGACCTTGCACAGCGGATCAGCTCTCATCCCAAAATGTTGTATAGTAACTCATTGATTTTTGTCATAAAGTTCGGTGTCCCCAAAATATGAGGTAAACATGGTCTGCGTTTTGGTTCTCAAGACGATTAACCAAACAGAAAGCAGAATGAGCCTCACACGAGTCTCTTATTTTGGGGTGTTAGTTTCAAGATGATATCAATGGACTCTGTGATCTGAATGGTCACTATGAGGGGTGTAACAGTACACAAAAATCACAGTTCGGTACGTATCCCGGTTTTGAGTTCATGGTTCGGTTCATTATCAGTACAGTAAGGCGCATTATCAAAAAGTAAGGCGCAGCACTAACAGTTCCAGCATAAAGTTTTACTCAATCTTCATATTTTTGGCTAGAAAAACAAACTTGTCCATATTGTCTGTAGTAAGTGCAGTTCTGCTGGCAGATACAATGTCCCCGTGCCAGCCCCTTGCAAAAGGCGAAAGTGAGGACCGGGGTGCGAAGATTCACATGGTTCAGAGGAATGTAGTCAAGGCGGCCACCCTAACTATAAAGCGCTGCAGGAAACACTGCCACCCCAATCATGAATGAGTTCCCTTGTGACTATTAATAAGATATTATGTTAATAAGAGCTGAGTCTTCCGTGTAGCTGCACATGTAGTGGTGGAATGTAAACACACAAAACTGCGCGAACTCACTCTTGTACAGCCCTGCACCAAAACGAACGTCCCGTACCAAAATGGTTCAGCACAATTACATGTACCATTACACCCCTAGTCACTACCTAAACCCTAGCACCAGCAGCCAATCATGGATCACTGCTAATGCAGCCTCTGTAGAACTGTGAGTGAATTCTGGAGGTTCTGATCTTTCACATGAGCCATGGGCTGTTCATATAATGAGAATGAGACAAACTTGTGTGTGTCCTCTATCTGCACGTTAAGGCTCTGACAACATAGGTTCAGTTGTGACTGCAGTACTTTGAGATTGTACACTGTAAAAAAGCTTGAGTCTATCAGAACATGACTTAAAAAAATTTAAAAAAAGTTGTGAAATGATCTGTCCATGCAGCAAGATCATTTTACTTGACAAGTAATCTTAAAACAAACTACCTCTAAACTAGAATTAAGCAGTCTCTGGTCTAGTAAGATAGATAATAAGTCTGAAAACAAGATGGATAATTTGATATAAGTTTTAAAATCTTGACCAGATCAGACAGATTTGCATTGTAGTACCTTGTGATTATGGTACATGCAGTTCCTTCGATTGTAATGTCAATAAGAGGGGGAAAAAAGGAAAATTGAGTAAGTCTGAGGCCTTGAGGGACTAAAGTAAAGCTGCCATATCATTAGTAAACAACTTCAAGAACTTTGAACTAAGCCCTGATGAAGAATAGTCATGGTCGAAACATAAAAACAGATCCTCGTGTGACTTTTACTTTCTTTGTAGTGCCTGTATTTTGTTGTGTCTAAAACTTAAATAACTTTTTCATGCAGTTCTCTAATTATCTGTTCTCAACGCCACACTTGAAGAACTCCATGTGAGCAATGCAAAGACGACAAAGTGGCATCGACGTGGCTCTATTCTCTGACGTCTCTCTGTTCGAACCGTCTCGCAGCTCCATCCGTGACGCGCGTGTCACATCCCGCCTCGGTGCAGACGATCCCGGGCTGTGTCTTCCTCTGAGCCCCGGCGTCTGCGCACAGGAAGAGCTGGCGGGGTATCAACACTCGCGTAGCGCCGCACGCCGTCTGCGAACGACTTCATTAAATCCTATCAGAGCGCGAAGAGGGGCGGGCTGACGGCGGCGACCCTATCGGCTGCCTCGCCCTCCTCCCTGCGACCCCGGGCCACAGCCACATTTCGGGGTTGGGTGTTTGCGACAGGAGCTACATTAGCACCATCGCAGCAATACCAGACTGCTAGGTTTCGCATTAAGTGTGAACTCCAAGGCATTCGACGCTAATTGCAGCAAATCCATACGTTGACGTTGTTCATAAACATCGGCGTTCGGATCCTTGTGGAATTTGTTTAACGTTGTTTTTTTAACGACTGGAACAGAAAGAGTGCAAGTGTGAGTCTTTAATGAACAACTAATGACCAAAGTTTGACACGAGATCTCCAAAGTGAAAAGTACAATCTGGTACGTACGAGTTTTCTATTGCGGTGATACAGGAAGCGCTCCACCGTGTTTTGAAACTTCATACACCTTCACTGTAAGAATATCTGGGGTCCGCCGCCTATTCCGACATCCCTTCGTTACGGCATGTCTCTATTTAGATATGCCGGTTTTCCAACACTTTTTACAGGTTGACTACCCCAAATGTAAGACTTTTTTAAGACCTTTTTAAGACCACTTAAATCAAAATTTAAGACCGACATCGCACCCATTATGTAGGCAAAAAACACCAGATCTAATTCTAATAATTCTAATAATGCCCAACCAACTATCAGATCTAGATTCTAGATATAGTGGGACACTTAAAAATGTATGTTTATGCCGCTACTCCGACAATTAGACGTCAATGTCTAAATAGCGTCATGTCAGAATAGCAGCAGGTAACCATATTTCTACATAACTAAAGGTAAAAGGCAGATGTTAATTTGAAAACTACCACTACATGACCTCACAGGGTGGAACAGAGAAGAGCGTTTTGAGCTTTGGAGATGTGGAGAGACTAGTAATTACTAATGAATTACTCAAACATGTTTGAATGAAACAAAACACAACTCCATGTCTGTTTTTGATGATGTAACAGCATTACAACATGACTTAAAGCTCACAAGAGTCAGTTTTATGTCATATAGGATCTTTAAAGCTATTCAGGAAAGGTTCATTTATGTCCTGGGAATGTGTTTTTGTTTGTTGTTTTTTTTGTATCGATACCTGCCTAAATAACTTGCTAGTTTCAATGCAAGTTTAATTGTGCATTATGTAACTTCTATGGTGGAGGGTCCGTCAAATGCTTTGTCTGAAATGTTTCACGGTATGGTATTAAACCTTTTTATCTTTATGGAGACCGAACCAGACCAAGTTACAGGTCAGATCTGTGGAGAGGCGACCCCGCTCACAGCAGAGTCCTGCATGGGCAACGGGTACGGGCAAATAAATCAGGACTAAACCTGGACTACACCAGGACTAAACCAGGTCTAAAGTAGGACTAAACTAGGACTAAACCAGGACTAATCTTGGAGAACCACTCAGTGCATAGTGTCCACAAAGTGCGCTCGGGCAATGGCTGCACATACCTCTGTGCGTCAAGGAACTCTACGTCGTTCCTTTCGCCTGCGGTCACCCGACAGTCTACACGGGCGCACCTCTGAGTCCATCCTGACTATGAGTCCTGGTTCAATTCTGGTTTAGTCCTGGTTTAGTCCTAGTTCAGTCCTGGTTTAGTCCTCCTGGTTCAGTTCTGGAATCAGCCCTGGTTTTGTCCTGGTTTAGTCCTGGGTTAGTTCTGGGTTAGTCCTGGTTCAGTCCGTGGCGTGTGCAGCGCAAAAGTCCAGCATCTCGATCAGTGTTTCTTCTGCTCAGTAAATAAAACCTGTGAAGTGATGACAATCGAGTCAAGTCCGTTCGTGTTCGTACTGAAGAAAGTGTAACCGTGTCATTTCATTTCCTGATTGTAATTCTTGACGTTTCAGTTCGTATTCTGATGGATGCTTCAGTTAGAATGCTTTTAATTTGTGTGTGATTTATCACGGGCATGGGCGGGTAACGGGTGGAATGTTAAGGGGTTCAGGCGGGTGCTAAAATTACGGGTTAACGGGCGGGTGCGGTGCTCTACTGTGTGGGTGCGGGTTTCCAAAAATAGACCCATGCAGGACTCTGGCTAATAGTCAGAATGCCTGTTTTTTCTAGGTATTTTTCAGCTATAAAACCACCTGTAATTGAATAAATGTAAGGTAGAGGTGTTTAAAGTCATACTGTGGAACATTCTAAGCAGACCAATGACATATCCACAGAAACAAGAAGTTAACGGACCGCCAACCAAAAAGTTACACAATTCATCTTTAAGTTCTGTTCAGTGTCTGCTTTCCAATACTTTTGACAACCCTGCCTCACTGAGCTACAAAAATTAGTAGAGAAAACTTTTCACTCAAGAAGAAGTCAATGAACCAAGACATAAATCAAAGGACTTTAAGGAAGCGGAAGAGCCAGTTAACAGGTGCCTCCATTCAAGCACAAGACTAAAACAAAGCGTCTCTGTGCCAGACATTTCTTTAATTCTAACTTCACAGAACGCAGGCAGAGGCTTTCGCGCACAAACCCCTCTCTTAAGACAACTTAGGAGGAAAAAGAACCGTACAAAGTTATATCATGTTAACTTTTTTGGGTCCTCTCCTCTCCCTCCCCACGCAATCTGTTTTCCACTCTGTTTTTGAGGGGCTACGGGAGGACCCCCTGCTAGCTCTCTGTACACACATTTAGAAGACGTCAAAAAAGTGAAGGAAAAAAAAAAATCGATGGCGCGTTTCTCTTGATGTCTCTTGAAGGCGTTGTGAAAAGAAGACCAAACGTTTTGTGGCAGGTCCCAGCGGAGCGCAGGAGAGAAGCAGAAGAGATGGATGGATTTTGTTTTGTGATGGAGCTCAAGTGGAGCGAGCTACAAACGGGACAGCGGGCGCAGACAAGAGAGGCAGGCCGGGCACAGGTTGTCTCCCCTTTGGTTTGGTTGCAGAATCTGAGCTGGGTACAAGGGGAGCAGCGGGTGAGGAGGGCTTTCAAACAGCCAATGAAAGGCCTTCGCACATGAGAGCTCTGCT